GGCATTGTGGCTCAAGTGGTAGAGCGCTAGTCTTGATCTGAAGAGCGGAGGGGCAGCGCCCAGGCCCAGAGTTCAGGCCCCATGACCAGACCCCCTCCCCCAAAAAGAGTTTCTTATATATTTTAGATAATAATTTTTCATCACGTAAATAGTTGTCAAATATGACTTTTTCCCATTCTTCAGGTTGTCTCTTCGTAGTGTTGATGGCTTCTGTGCAGAATCTATTTAATAGTTTTTCATACTCACATTTATTAATCTTTAGTTTTGTTTGTCTTTCTCTGTTTGGATATTATGAAATGTTTCCTCCTACATTTTCTTCTAGTAGTTTTATAGTTTTACTTCTTTTTTTTTAAAGTTTTAGTTCTTTAAGTCTGAATTTTCATGATAATTTTTGTTCAGAGTGAGACATGAGGGGGTCATCTTTTGCATAAAGGTATCCAGTTTTATCAGCACCATTTAGTGAAGAAGCTGTCCTATCTGTGGTGCATGATTTTGTATTTTTTTTCAAGTATTGGTTGGCTATACACACACTAGATGTCTTTTGGGGATCTCTATTTATTGGTCTGTGAATCTGTTTTTATGCTAGTACCATGTTGCTTTGTTTACTATGGGTGTGTAGTACCTCTTAGAGTATTATGATGCTTTTAATGCCATCCCTTCCTTCCCTTTTTCCCTCTTTCATTCCTCCCTTTCTCCCTTCTTCTTTCCTTCACTCGTTTACAATACTTGGGTTTGAGCTCAGCATCATATGCTTGCTAGGTAAATGCTCTACCACTGTGCCATTCCCCAACCCTTTTAACTTAAGTTTCAGTTGCATTTACAAGCAGGCACCTTTTTTCATTTTTATGCTTCTCACACTAGAAGGAAAGGTGCACAATGCCATACCTTGTTTATTAGTTGATAAGGTGTCTCATGAATCAAGCTGTCATTTATAGATGATGGTATCTTGTTTCGAGTGGAGCATTTGAGTATACAAGAGATATAGTTGGGCCAGGCGCCGGTGGCTCACGCCTGTAATCGTAGCTACTGAGGAGGCTGAGATCTGAGGATCACGGTTCAAAGCCAGCCTGGGCAGAAAAGTCAGTGAGACTCTTATCACTGTGGCTCAAGTAGTAGAACACTCGCCTTGAGCTGAAGAGCACAGGGACAGTGCCCAATCCCAGAGTTCAAGCCCCATGACCAACCAAAGAGAGAGAGAGAGAGAGAGAGAGAGAGAGAGTAGTTGGGTAAGTTAACACTTCTACTTAACTGACAGTATAGAGTTAAAGAATGCAGACAAAGGGCCTTATTAAAGATTGTAGATGGTTGCCAGAGGCTCATGGTAGATTCTTAACTACTCAGGAATCAACATGAGGAGGATCATGACATAAAGCCATCTGAAACTTCATCTGAACCAAAAACAAAATAACAAAAGCATGCAGGTGCGAGTGGTCATGTCTATTATCCTACTTACTACTCAGGCTGCTGAGACCTGGAGGCTTGCTGTCCTGAGCCAACCCTACTAGAAAGGTTTACTTACTCCATTTCCAAAATAATGAGCAAAAAATAAAAGAAGGGTTGCAGCTGTGAGTCATATAGTAGAAAGCCTGTCTAGCAAGGACACATAGGACCCATGTTCATACTTCAGTACCACCCAACAATTAAAATTAAAAAGAAAAAATAAAAAGCAAAAAGGGCTGCGAGTGGAGTATGGTGGAGTGTGTAAAGTGGGTTGCCTAGTAAGCTTAAGGCTTCAAGTTCAAACTCTAGTACTGCTAAATAAAAAGCTTAAGCATAAGTTGTATAATATATACATAATTTTATCACCATCAAATAATATTTTAGAAAAGATGTACTATTATAAGCTACAACATAAACGTTTAAAACCATGCCAGATAAAGGACACTACTTAAACAATAGATTACTCTTTTTGTGATTCCATGTGCTTGTAGACACCTAGATGAGACAAATCCTTAGAAACAACTTGTAAAACTGTAGATTTCTAGGATTTACCCAGTTGAGGTAGTGGGGTACTGATGTTTATTGGGTCTCCTTTTGGAGTTTTGAAAATGTTTAAAATTAGATTATGGTAGTAGTTACACAACTTCTTTAATATACTGAGAATCACTTGACTGTGTAGTTTAAATGGATAATTTTTATAGTATATAAAATAGAAAACACAGTTTAAGCCTTATACATGGGGTTTATATAGTGAGAAAAGAAGATATGTTAAAGGACTGATGGACAATAGTTAAATATATGCCTAAAGTGTATATGATTAGTGATAGAATGTATGGTCATAATTTATTTGAGGCAGAGCATAATATATATGGGTCAGGTAGCAAGAAAATATCCAAAAAACACTAAATTTTTTTATTTGGATTCATAATGATAAAAGTATCATGTCAGTACTGTAGCTTCGATGTGTCTCTGTTATATGCTACAGTAGTACTCTTTAATCTTTTTCAATATGATTGTTGTAGTTGTGAATATCCTTCTTTTCTTTTTAAATACAAATGCTTGAACTCAGGGCCTTGTTCTGGTTCAGCTTTTTTGCTTATTATTTTTTTTTGGGGGGGGTGGGCGGTTTCGGTCATGGGGCCTGAACTCTGGGCCTGGGCGCTGTCCCTCAGCTCTTCAGCTTAAGAAGCGCCACTTCCGGCATTTTTTTTCTCTGCTTATGTGGTGCTAAGGAATCGAGGGGCCTCATGCATGCAAGGCAAGTGCTCTACCACTGAGCCACATTCCCAGCCCTTTGCTTATTCTTTATAGCTGAATAATACTCTGTTGAATATATGTATCACCTATATACCACTTGCACAGAGAACGTCAGGGGAAACAAGAAGTCAGTCAAGATATAAATTTTTCATAAATCTGTATTATACACAAGTCTTCAATAACACCCCCTCTGGTAGAGGCGAACATATATTAAGACTTGAAAGATATATTTTAGGTACAGAATAAAATGAGTGTGGTAAGATTATGTAAGGTTAAAATATCCAGAGTAGTACAAAACTAGAAAGTATATGTATACCTGAAGGAATCTTTTGAAAATTGGGTTCTGGTGCAGCAAATTTTCAAAGTAGCTAGATTGTTTATTCCTCCTCCTCCTCTTCCTCTCCTCCCCCCACCCCCCCAGCTTGAACTCAGCCTGAGCTTCTTTTGCAAGGCTACTTCATTTGAGCCACAACTCCACTTGTGGCCTTTGTAGTGGTTGATTGGAGATAAGAATCTCATATACTTTCCTGCCCAGGCTGGCTATAAATGTGGTACTCAGATCTCAGCCTCCCTGAGTAATTAGGATTACAGTTGTGAGATACTGCTGCCTGGCAGTCTCTTCATTCTTAACATGCTCCCATGTGATAATAATACTGCTGGCATTCAGTCCATGCTATAAGTAAGAAAGTTCCAGAAAACTGCTTCTCTATTTGAGTGAAAACTTGAGACACAGAAACTTGACTTATTTATTTTTACATTTCCTTTACATAGTTAAGTGCCAAAATGAGTATATTAACTGAAATATTTTTTGTAAGTAAATAAACTAATGAAACAATAAGTGCATGGCTACTTGGGACTGGAATGCTAGAATTCTGTATTAGTAGGTAAGGAATAATCCTTAGGCTTTGGAAAACCATTGAGTTGTAATAGTATATGATTATTAAGGTCACTTAAAAGTCTATAAACCTAACTGTACCTCACACAACTTTTGATAAGAAAATGTTTCTTGGTCTGGGAAGGTGGCTCGGTGGTAGAGAGTTTGCCTTGCATGCATGAGGCCCTGGGTTCAATTCCTCAGCACCACATAAGCAGAAAAAGCCAGAAGTGGCGCTGTGGCTCAGTGGTAGGGTGCTAGCCTTGAGCTGAAGAGCTGAGAGACAGCGCCCAGGCCCAGAGTTCAGGCCCCACAACTGACAAAAAAGAAAAAGAAAAGAAAAAGAAAATGTTTCTTTCTAAATGCTTAAATCTATAGCTAAGCTTATAATATTGAAGAAATTTGTACTGTTTCCAATTATTTACAGAAATATTGAATAATAATACTACAGAACAAGTTATTTTAAGCTGTGTGCTATCTTTGTGGGCCTGCACAGTTGAACTAGTGGTGTGGAATTCACGCTTAAGTATGGTCTCTTTGAATAGAAGTTCTTAGTTGTTTGACTGTATTATAGAATTATAAGATTTTTAAAACCCCAATGCTGTATGTCTCCAGGTATCTCTTGGTGTGATGTGAACATAGCATCTACAATACCCTAAATTCAATCCCTGTATCAAAACAATAATGAGAGAGAATGGGAGGAAAGAAGGGACGAGGGAAGGAAAAAGAGATACAGAGAACTAGTGTGAGGGAGGAGTGAAGATAGAAATGGAGGAAGGAAGGAAGCAAACCCTACATTAACTCAGCTATTTCTCATGTAACTTCATGGAAAATTAATACTGAAAAGTATAAAACTTTCTAAGATAACCCGAAATACAGCATAAAATGTTGATCTATTAACAAGAACATAAGTTGGGATTCCAACACATCTAAGTTGAAGTCTAGCCTTCTTGGTTGCAAGCTATTGAATATATAGGTAGAGCATTTGGAACTTACTAATAAAAAAAATGAATGATTCTATTTCCTTACATATAAAAACAAGCATGAATAGTTAGTAGGACTGATAAAATTATTAAAGAAAATAATTATCGTAGATAGTGGTCAATTCTTTTAATTGAGTAAACTTTATATGTTTGAAAAGAACTTCATGTAATCCATATAAATATAAAACAAAATTGTAATTCTATGGTATTTTTTGTTTTATTACTTTCAACAACTTGATGCTTTCATTCTCATGTTCAGTAATAAAAATAAATATCTCAAACTGCTTTACAAATTGATGAATAGTGAAACTTCTTCATGAATTGTCTTTCAAAATATTACTCATGTGAGAAGAATCTGTGTTAACTTGTTCAATATGAAACATATAAGACTTGATTATTTTTAGCAAGCAAGTTCTCCTTGTACAAATACTGTTACTTTCTTTCAGGAAACTCTAATAGATTGGTGTGATGAAAAGGAACTTAACTTGATATTAACAACTGGAGGAACAGGATTTGCACCACGAGATGTCACTCCAGAGGTAAGATAGTATATGCCTTTTATTAGCCATATTCAAGGAGTGCACTACTTAAGTTATTTCTAATCGCCTTTACAATTTTTATATTTTTTTAAATAATTTTGCCAGAGAAAAGAATTCTTTACTGTCATATAAATGTAAAAGTTTGACTCCTGATGAATTACTATGAAAAATGTTATTTGACTGTTTTAAACTTAACTATAAATGGTAGACTATGAGGAAGACTGAACTGGTCTAAAAATTAATCCTTTGCTTGATTTTCTATAGTGGCAGCTAAACCTTAAGATGTTATTGCAAAATTCTGTCTAATGTATTTTGTCAATACAATTCAAAATTGGTTATGGTTCATCTTTGTTAAGTTTCCTTGTCATTTGTCTTAAAGTATAGGTTTGAGGATGAGATTATTGCAAATAAAACATTTATAATAATTTTATAGCACTATTATCAAAAAGTATCTTTTCTCTAATTTTAAATGGGAATGATACTTAATTGTAGAATTTCATAAACCACAAAAGCAAATTAATCTCTGAGCTTTATACCACAAGAATCACCTACTTTTCCAAGGAAATTATGAGAATAATAAAAAATAAATAATATTCATTAATATACAGGAAAAGGTCTGTATTTTGTTTCAAAGGCCTCCATAAATTCCAAGTGTCATATTGGAACAATATAAAACCTTAAATTACTACTTATGACATATTTTTCTTTGCTCTCCAAGAGTATTTCTATGCTTAATTTCAACTTAATGTTAGCTTTATCCTTCTATTTTCAAATCAGTACACTATTGTATCTATACTTTATTTTCAGTTATATACTTTTTCCTTACATTCTTTAAATAATTCATGTCATTCTTTTTCTAATGCATTGTTCTTTTCTAACTTCAGCCTGATCAGATTAAGGTTGTGTTAAAATGCAGATTGCTGTAGACCATATGTAGAGCTTCTACTATGTAGTATTTTATAGTAGTTGTTGCTCAATTTCTTCTATAAAGAGAGTGTTAATGTTTTAAGCTATGAGGGTCATGTTATATCTCTACCATATTAATGAAATAAATATATACAGTAAAGGATTCCAGAACACTCACACATACATATACACATATATTCTAGACTTTGTAGGCTGTTTAAAAACATATTATCAATCTATTACATATTCTATGGTGTTTAATGTGCCTTTATTATTATCTTTTTATTTACATGTTGTATTAATTGTACAGGGGGACTTTCATTATGACATTTTCCATACATGCATAAAATGTATCCCAGTCAAACTCCACTCAATCAATAATTCAGCAGTTCTTCATGGAGTCTTGAAAATCTGCACTTCTTTAGATGTTTCTTGTCTATAGACCATACTTCTGAACTTGAAGAACCACTACTCTAAGATTTGAAAATAAAATTTTATAAAACAGGTAGTAAATTATTTACTATTTCCTATGTAAGCCATATAAAATTTTAATATTAGAAGTACAGCTACAAATAAAACAGATTTGCATTTAAAGCAATTCAAACATTGTACTGGGAGATTTTTAACTTTTTTCCTGGATCCTAACTAGAAGTGATCCTTTGGCCAATTTTTGTATTTCTTTCACACTGTGAGACTAGCTGAAAAAGTACAAGTGAGAAGGAAGCCATAGACTGAAATAGTGTTTGTATTTTGTTTTGTTTCATTTTATATATAAAAAATCTGACTACAGGGGGCTGGGAAGGTGGCTCAGTGGTAGAGCGCTTGCCTTGCATGCCTGAAGCCCTGGGTTCGATTCCTCAGCACCACATAAGCAAAAAGAAAAAAGCCGGAAGTGGCACTGTGGCTCAAGTGGTAGAGCACTAGCCTTGAACTGAAGAGCTGAGGGACAGCGCCCAGGCCCAGAGTTCAGGCCCCACGACCGGACCCAAAAAAAAAAAAAAATCTGACTACATATGTAAAGACATATTTTTGTTTTCTTTTTTTTCTTTTTTTTTGGGGGGGGGTCCAGTAGTGGGGCCTGAACTCTGGGCCTGGGCGCTGTCCCTCAGCTCTTCAGCTCAAGGCTAGTGCTCTACCATTTGAGCCACAGTGCCACTTTCGGCTTTTTTTCTTTTTTGCTTATGTGGTACTGGGGAATCGAACCCAGGGCCTCAGGCATGCAAGGCAAGCGCTCTACCACTGAGCCACCTTCCCAGCCCCAAGACATATTTTTGAATTTGAGTGTTGCATTTAAATAAGTGACCTTTATATACCATTAATAGTATGGTTTAATATTTTTATAATGTTATCAGAAAAGTAGAATATTTTTATCATAGATTGCATTTATAAACAAATGATATTTTTACTTGTGGAAAAGTAAATTTATATCACCAAATATCCCGAATCCTTTGAGCTTCAATATTAGGCTGAACATGTAAACTTCTCTGAAAATTATAGTTCTGGCTCAACTGCTCACTAACAAGATAATGATTGATGGGTTTTTACTCACATTAATGACAAATGTATAGAATTCTCTCACAACATGAAATTCTCTGACACTCTGAGTACCAAATGTCTTTTGTTTCATTTTAATTCAGTTCTGTTATTGCTACCTGGAAGTAAGGTCAGCATAGATTTGAAGCTCAGTACCATAGACTGTAAACTTCAAGTACCATTCTCATATTTGGGACTTCAGATTACCTCCACTTTTGTCCTACTCTGTTACATAATCTATTGATTTCCCACAACTTCCTCCTATCAGATTTGATATTTTACCTCAAATGGCTCACAAACCTCTGGGGATAGTCAATTACCAGTTTATTGTAGAGATAAAATTAATAAAAAGAAGTCACATGGGTAAAGTATGGAAAGAAGAATTTGAAGAGGTCCCACATTCTTTTCAAAATAGTTCCATTTTGGCTATTGAGTGCTTTTGCCAGTTTGAGAGCTGTAAGTCTTTTTCTTGAGTTTTTGTACACCTTAGTCTCCAGTCCTGGACCCTTAATGGATGGGGTTAAATGTTTGAACTCTAATGTCTTGGTGCTTTAGGTGACCAGAATTATCCTGAGGCTATTGGGGGATTTTTTTTTGATGGATAGTAAAACATAATACCTATCATTCAGGAAATTCTGGTGGTTTTCAAAATTTTATGTGAAGATCATGGGACAAAAAAATATTTTTTTGTTTTACTACAATAGACAACATTTAACTACCCCATGCTTTATTTAAAATGGAAAACAATGCCTGCTTACCAAGGTTATTGTGAAAACTGGCATTTAATGTGAGTTTTCTCATACTGGTTAAATATTTTTTGCTAGTTGCTATGCAGCTACTAAGTTTGATAATTGGGGATTTTTTTTTTATGTAATAGATGGACAAATGTGGGTCTTAAATAGGGTTCAGAGTATTTCCATGAAACTTACACAGCCTTTTAAAATTATTATTACTTAATTTTGATATAGTAATATCCCTTATAAGTCAATGATCTTGAATTTTCTGCTATTGTATATTTTTCTTTTCTTTATTTTTTTCCCTTTTTGGGACATGGGCGCTACTTATTAGCAAGAGTCTTATCACCATAGCCTTGTATATTTAATTGTGCCCAAAACTGAGTAGGCTTTTAGTCTTAAAAGTTTTGTGATTATTTGAAAATCATCCTATAGTCTCAAATACCTATAGTAACTATGTTGGTAAAGTTGTATTGTGGCTTTATTTTTTAATGCATTTAAAATACACAATCCACACTTCTTACAGTTTTAGTTTAATGTGAAAACATTAATGTTTTAAGAATATGTTGAACATCTCTGATTTGATTCATTGGTGTTGTTGAAACACTAGTAGTTGTAAAATTCCATAAAATACAAAAGCATTGCTGTATAAATTATTTTCATTTACTTACATAAATGATCTTTTATTGTTTTAAAAACAAAAGTTTAGTTATTGGTTTCAGAAGAAACTAAAAAATTAAAGAGGCAAAAATATATAACTATTAGTTTTGTTTGATAATACAAAAACATTGTGAGTTGATCTTTATGAGGTAAATATTTTCAGTATTTTCAGAATACACTGAAGGTATAATGCCAGAAACAAGGGTTGTATACTAATATATTACCCTGATCATGAAGATTTAAAAGTCCAGTGTAGTCAGGCATCAGTGGCTCATACCTGTAAGCCTAGTTACTTAGGAGGCTGAGATCTGAGAATCATGTCCAAAGCCAACCTGGGCAGGAATGTCCATGAGACTCTAGTTAGGAACCAAAAAGCCAGATATGGCACTGTTGCTGAAAGTGGTAGAGCACTCCCCTTGAGCAAAAACAAGCTCAGGGACAGTGCCCAATCCTTAATTTCAAGCCCCAGGACTAACACACACACAAACACACACACACACCAATTCTTAATTTCAAGCCCCAGGACTAACACACACACACACACACACACACACTCGTTAGTGTACTCTTATAGCATAGCCAATCTTTGATTCAGAAAGCTATTTGGGCTGGAAAGTTGGCTCAGTGAAAGAGTGCTTGCCTCACATCCATGAGGCACTGGGTTTGATTCCTCAGTACCACATAATCAGAAAAACTAAAGCTGGAAGTGGGACTTTAGCTCAAGTGGTAGGACGTTAGCCTTGAGCTGAATTGCTGAGAGACAGCACCCAGACCCAGAATTCAGCCCCTACAACTAACAAAAAAAAAAAAAAAAAGAGTCTTGGAGATATTTTGCCCAGGCTATCTTAGAATCACAATCCTAGATCTCAGTCTCCCTGAGTAGCTAGAATTATGAGTATGAGCCACATGTATTCAGATTATTCTTACTCTTTAATAAGCATTCAGTATGTTATGCTTGCACACAAGTGTTAAAAATGAATAAAACCTGTTTTGTGTACCTAAAGAATTCATTATCACAGGGATTAACAGACTGACCATTGGTCAAATCCAGTCTATCACTGTTTTTACATGGCCTATTAAGAATAGAATTTACAATTTTATATTGTTAAAATTTCAAAAATCGAATAATATTTTGTGATGTGAAGCTTATTTGAAATTTAAATTTCATTGCCTATGAGTGACATTTTGTTAGACCATAGTACATTCATCCATTTATGCCTGCTATGATTTAAATGAATATGTTAAGGAGTTTCAACTAAAAATGTATAATTTATAGAGACTTTACTTCATCAAATGACTCTGAAGAAAAACTAGTCTACTAGATGACAATAATTTTACTCATTTTACTCATTTTTAAAGTTTCCTGACTTTTACCTTTTTTTTAAGTAATACTGAATTGTAAGGTTAACCTTCTAATTTTTTTTAGTTTTAGATACAGAGAAAGAATACTTTCTACCATATTGGTGTACATTGCCCTTTTATCTCAATAGGCAGTGTAACATATTCAAAAAGTACTCATCCTTTCTTCTAAATATAATGTAAAATTTGGGGCTTTTACAATTAATGAAATTACTATATATTATTTAAATTCCTGCTTTCAAAGTATTTAAGGTGCTGTTCTCAGCAAGACCTTCTAACAAAAATATGTTGATATAATTGGTCATTATGAAATAATCATGAAAAAGGAATAGCAAAATTTTCAGGAAACTATATACATGATAGAAGTAATATTTATTTGAAAGTATTCATATAGTTGTTTCAATAGGGAAGTAAACAGATACCTATCAAAATGACTAATGCTAAAAAGGGAGGAATTCTCAAAGTTTGCTACAAAGAAAAGATGAAGTTTTAGGAAAAAGCCTGAATTCTAGAAGGCATATTCTCTTTATGCCCTTACTAGGTTTTTTGTTTTGTTTTGTTTTGTTTGCAACAGAATAGTATCTAAGTTTTTCTACAAATAAAGCTAAGATAATTTGGAATTTTTTCATTTAAAAGTCTACTTTCTTACTACTTTTTATTAAAGTAATTATACAAAAGTTTTAATTAAACATGTCAATTTATGAGTACAATGCATCTTGATCAATGTCACTCATTTTAACATCTTTTCCCAACCTATCCCAATCCCACTGATCCCCTCAAGTTACCTGCTTCCACTTTTACATATGTACATACATTGAATATTATGACTAGATTTACCTGTCCTTCCTTCATTCCTCTTATCCTCACCCCTTAATCTCCACATTCTTCAGGAAAAAAAAATAAGCTTTCTCACATTCTGTTTGTTAGACTGTAAATAAAATGTGAAATCCTTCACAAATTTGTGTGTTGTCCTTTCACAAGGGCCATGCTAATTTTCTCTATATCATTATAAATTTATTGTACATACTGCCGAACTGAATACAAAAATGCCAAATTTCTAATACAAAGAAAACCCTAATCTGTTTATAAGAATTCATTTTACAATCAATTTTTCATCATATTTTTCAGTTTTTAGTTGCATGTAGCGTGTCACGTATTTGCTATGCATCATCTACTAATTATTTTCTTATATGCTTGGAAAACAAGAAGGTATATTGTATTCATAAACTTCTTTGCTAAATGGCAACTCCTTTGTATAACAACTTAAAGATAATAAATAATTTTTTAATAATTTTTTAAAATCAAGAACACTGTGAAGTACTGGGGAAGAGACAGTATTGGCCTAAGTTAATTGAATGTGCATTTTTTCATTTTTGAAGGTGAGAATTTACATTTAACAAGTATATCTAAAAGTTAGCATCAGACATTTTAGCAATCAGAAAAACTTGTAGTCTATTAGTCTATCAGAAGCATAAGAAAAATATGTTTTATCATGTTCCTGAGAGAAAATATTAACATGCATTATTTAAAGCTGCATAGTAATATTCTATAGAAATTTTTGATTATTTCACTAAAAATGTAATATACTGAGACTATAATATTTATGCTAGAATATACTATGAATAATATTTTATTGTTCCAGAATTGTTTCAAGTAAAATACCTGTTACTTATAATAATTAAAGTTAATCTTAATGAACCAAGATTTTGAACATCTTGAAACCTGTTCTTTGTAAATAAGTTGCTTCAACAATGTAAAAGTGATTTTAAAGCAAAATACTAGAAAACATTATGCTTCAGATATTTAAAATTAGATTGACTAATATATTTATGATCACTGAAACCAGGTATCACACCATCTCTCTCACCTTCGTATCTCCAACAGAGTGATGAATTGTTTGGTGGAGTCTGAAAGCACAGATCAACAGAGTACCAGAGTCTCATAATTTTTCACTCCCAGTGTATAAAATTCCTTACTGTGTTTGCTCACTCCACTATCCAGTGCATTTGCAGGACACTAATACTTTCTGCCCCTGGGGCCATAAACTGACTATTTGTCAAGAAGTGGTCCTATCTCCTAGTAGCTTCTAGTACACAAAGAAGAAAAACTTCTGAGGTGAAAGTATTGTATGGGAATTCAATGGTAAGACACATTTTGAGAGGTTGAACCTGAAGTCTTTATTAGAAAGCTGTCAGCTACAAATGGACTCATGTCCTCCCCCCCCCCCCAAAAAAAAAAAAACCTGCAACCTGTAGTATACTTAATAATACTGTTAGGAAACTGAGCCACAAGGGTAATAAAGAAAAAAGCAGAAAACAGTCTCTACAAACCAGATCAGCTCTAATGGAGAGTTGAAGAGGGAGACCATGGTAACCTGAGGAGAGTCAAAGGACACCAAGCATGGCCCAATGGTGTCAGATGTCCAGGGGCTTAAGTAGGGCCATGGTTAGGGAGCAGGTTCACAGGGAGCTTGAGAGTTGAAAGAGTCTCTAGAGTTCATGTTACAGGTCTTGCAGGTCTGGGAACCTACTGTCCAATTCCCCTCCCCTGCTTCTTAGAATTCAGGCATGTATCACCAGAGGGTGGGGGTAAGGAAGTGGTATTTCACCTCCAGAGTCCCTATCATCTACTAAGATGCCAGGATGGAGCCACTTAGACACAGTATACATATTTCAAAAGAAGCATAGAAGTAGAGGATTAACCCTCAACTAGGCTACCCTCAGAAATCATATAACTACTACCCGTATAAGGATTTATGAACTATAAGCTAGTCCAGGTAGTTTTCCTCTATCTTAGTAGAACTAGGATCTGGTGTGGTGCCATAAGCCCTGCTGTCTGAATTCTGAAAATACATCAACTGCAAGATTGCAGGCGAATAAAACTTCCAACCAATAGTATGGCTCCAGATATGTAAGTTCCATCACAGAAACACAAAAAATACAAAAATACAAGTCAGTATGATTCCTTCAACTCCAAAAATCTGACAATAATGGACAGCAATGTGTAGTAGGAGGACCCCTACTTAGGCAGACAAGCTCACCTAGTCGTCCAGAGTGACAGAACCCACTGCAACAAAGTTAAAGAAGCAACTTTGAGAAGGTTCCTATGCTGACCTGTCAGGGCTGCAGCTCAGGCTCAGGCACTGATACTGCGACCCCTAGCGGCCCACATACTTTGGTTTTTAAAGGCAAAATCCATGAGGTCGAGCCTGATCCCGTGCAGGTGACCAATGGGATAGTAACACACACAAAGGATTATACAGTCATACCAGACCACACACAGGTGGCCAATGAGGTTACAGTTTGTCTGTAATGGCTGTTTAAACCAGCCTATCACCTTGGTTTAAAATGGCATGCAAATTTAGTGGGTAAGGTGAGGTCTACCTTTTGGTGGGCAAAGCATGTACAAAAGGCAAGGTTTATAGTAAGCAACTGGTGTCGCCAGTTGGAGCCAGATTACAACCTATCTGTTTTAGGTCAGTCTTTAACTCAACAATCAAAGGTGAGTTAGGTTGTTAGGGGGACGGGCACCAGATGCATTTTTTTTTTTTCGTACTGGGAACTAGGCCCATCAAGTCTAAAATCCCTAAAACAAAGGCAGGCTCAAAATGGAATCATACCAGCTTGGGCCCCATCTCAGGGTCCACTTCACAATGAATGAAATCGATGATTAAGTGAAGTGTATGAGTGTATGACCTTACCTTTAAAAGAAAGACTGTAAAAATGATCAGTAAAATTAAAGAGGATATGTTAAAGTCTTGAATAAAGTCAAGAGAATGCAAATAAACATTTGAATAAAGCAAGGAAGACAAATGCAGGATATGAAAAGAAATTCAATAAAAACACGTAATCAAATTGAAATTCTGAAAATGAAAAACTCAGTATTTATGTTGAAAACTGTACCATTAGACTCAAGTTGATGACAGGCTGTCAAGACTAGAAGGCAATTATGGAAGAACTGAAACATTCAGATATAAAGATAAAGAAAAACTATAGACAAGATATAAAATACTTCTGAAACACCAATGAAATACCAATCTACAAATTGTAGGGCATAGACAAAGGAGATAAGTTGCAACCTAAAGTCATAAAAATATTTTCAATCAAATACTTAAAAAAAAATCCCAAATCTTGAGGAAATAGTCATCTCTGTAAAGAAGACTTTTTTTTTTTTTTTTTAAACTCAACCAGATCCGTTTCAATGGAAAGTTAAATAGGAGACATCATGATGACCTGAAGAGAGTCAGGACACACAAGACATATGTAGAAGGCCTTATAGCATCATGGGTGGGGGGCAAGGTCACAGGTAGCTGGAGAGTTGCTAGGAATTTCAGGTTGTGCATTGTGAGTTTGTGGTTAGGGCCTGAAATGGTCTAGTTCAGGGAACCTGTTGTGTTGTGTAATGGGTTGGCCAGGTGTGGCCTGCTTGCAGTCACCTGAGGGGTGGGGTGGGGAAGTAGGCTTTCACATTTAGATTAAGATTCTAGACTGGAGAAATTCTCCAGCCAGAGAATTTCAGGAAGGTCCCCCTGGACCAGGAGTGTAGTCAGTGGGCCAAGCCATGAGAGCAACATTGAGTTATGAGAACAGCAGATTCCCATCATTTGAGGGGTATAAGCACTTTGGGGCATTGGTGTCTTTTCTGACTACTTTCTGCTGACGTAGAGCATCAAGGAATAACTGGGACTGGTAGTATCTTCAGGGTCTGGGTCTGCATTGGGTAGGGCAGTGTCATTGAAGCCTGGGATTGCTACTATAATGGGACAGCCTTGACTTAGTCTGGCCTGGATGAGGGTAGTCATCCTGTTAGAGAAAAACTTTTTAAGAAAACAGGGCCCAAGAAGGAGGAGAATGAGGATGACTGTGAAAGGTCATAGTAGAGGGGCCATCCAGGGGACCATTGTGAAAGGAAATCCCACCGGGATGTCCTTTGTGATTCCCGTTGTCCAGGAGACTTTCCTGCTACTGATCAGGGTTTCTTGGAATACTCCCAATTCATTAGCATAAAAACACCATTCTTCCTGTAAAAAGAAACAAAATTCCCTTCAAACAGCTGTGAGGATTACTGCTGCTAGTGAGTTGAGTTGTTGTTGTATGGCTGTTTGTGAAAGGGCTGTGACATCCTCTGTGACCTGCTGGGTCAGCCTCTTATTGGACCTGCTCAGAGGACTGTGCCTGATGTGTCTACACAATGAGAAAGATGGCAATAATGGGAGAGTGCCAAGAACATCAGGGAGGCCTCCAGATGAGTGGAGACAACAAAAACATCAGAAAAGAACCTCTCCAAAGCATATTCTGTTTATTGTTCAATCCTTAATATACAGAAGTGAGAGAATATTGAAAACTCCAAGAAAGAAGTATCCAATCACATATAAAAGTAAAGCCATCAGAATGACAACAGATTTCTCAAAAGAAAGCAACTTTATTGAGAAGGTTCCTACACTGACTGGCCAGGGCCACAGCACAGGCTTGGGAGCTGATACTGCCACCACGAGTGGCTCACGTACTTAGATTTTTAAAGGCAAAATTCACAAGGTCAAGCCTGGTCACACAGGTGACCAATGAGATTGTCACACACCCAAAAGATTGCACAGTCATACTAGACCACACACAGGTGGCCAATGAGGTTACACTTTGTCACATAATGGTGTTTAAACCAGCCTATCACTTTTGGTTTAAATGACTCACAAATTCAACAGTAAGGTGGAGTTTATGGTAAGCATACACAAAGGAGGAGTTTAGTGGAGTTCAACAAAAACACGTGAAAAAGGCGGAGTTTATGGTAAGCTCCTGATGTTGCCACTATGAGCCAGATTACTGGCTATCTGTTAATTGGTCAGTCCTTAACACAACTGTGAAGGTGGGTTAAGTTGTTAAAGGGAGAGGGACCTAGAGGCATTCTTTCCATTCCAAGAACTGGGCTGGTTGAAGCCAAGGTCGAGTTAACCTTGTTTAGAGGTTTTTTTCATTTTTTCCTAAAATCCCTAAAACAAAAGCAAAGCCTGGAAAGAAGCTGTACCAGCTCCAGTCTCCTCTCAGGGCC